TTCACCTTGATAACAAAGGGATCGCGGTACGCTCGAGAGAGAGAAACAACATCAAGGAATAAACTGTCGAACTTTCGTCGAGACTCGGAATAATTGATGCGTCGGAATCGCGAGAACGAGGTAGCCGCGATAAAAAGATGACGTTCCCGGCGAACCGCCGACCTATCCGTGAAAGCGTAAATAATCGACAACCGTCGCGGCTCGCGATCGAATGGAAGATAATTTGGTAAAACGGGCCGCGTTCGAGTTACGAATTAAAGAAGCATCGCATTCACGCGAGGTAAATGAAACAGTTCTGCTCCTCCTCGTTCGACTGGTTAATTATCTGTGGCTACGTCCCCGGGACAAAAGCGACCGGCGCAAACAACCGGGTCACATTTCCGGCGGGAATAACAGATTTTCCGCGAAGCCCAGTCGATAACTTCGAATTCGCGGACAGCCGGGCGCGCGGACTAACCTTCGCCGCTCGCGCGAGAGACCGAACGCGGCCGAACACTCTTAGCGGAATAATAAACCGTCGCGCGTTCCAGTTTCATTGAAATTGACACCACTTTCCAGTCGGTTGTTATTGATTCGAGCATCTCTCGATACCTCCGCGTGCGTCGAGCAAAGTGAACAGATCGATCGGTTACACGGCCGACAATTTACAACGGCTGTTATTAATATTTCATCGGCGGTTCCGTCCGGGCTCGATGGAAATTCGGCAGGTAACGATGCGCGTTGTGTTTCTGTCGTGCGTGCTCGAACCTTCGAATGACAATTGACCGAAAAACCTTTTTTCAATTGGACCGCGCACTGCGGAGAGGACCGGGATCAGACTGGACTCGTTTATGGACTTTGATTGAGTTTGAAATTGAGTTCCTAACAAATGTAAACTCTCGTTCTAACGGTCGAATTTCAATTCCTGCCTCAACGGTCGAATTCTAGGGACTCTTGTTAGCCGTAACTCGGCGTCTTACGTTCGTGAAAATGATTGTTCCGTCGTTGCTCTGGGAATACCGTGTTGGCAGTTTCGAGTAAGGGACCGTAACGTGCGAATAGTTCCTCGGTCACTGTGACTGTACAAACGCTGCGCGCGTATAACACGTGTATCTAGGAGATCGTAGGTGAGTCAGAGGACGAGTCACAGATGGTTCCGGCAACAACTGAGCCCATTAGGGGCAATTGTCAGATGGTTCTGCCAGTCGTAAATGGTACGGAGTTTATAAACAGCCGGGATTTCTTTCCTTCGAAGGTCTACCAGGACATTAGACATTCGTCGTATCGCGAACAATGTATTATCTATTACAAAAGATGTCCTACTTTTTACAGACAAAACCTCCATCTCGCAGCATTAACCTTAACACGTTAACTACCATATAAATCACCGATATCTGACGCTTCTGAACTACTTGAAAACAATCGCAACATACGAAATAATCGATGTCGAATCAAACTATTTAATAACGTTACTAACTTGATAACAGTGCAATATTGTCACAAATAGGGAATATCTACTTTTCTTCGCTAAAAAAGGTACAGAAAAATGGTCAAGATTTTCGCGACGTAATCAACTATTATACTTAAACGGAAATATAGGCATAACATATGTTTAGAGTTTTCCTTTTTCCAATAAATTATTACAAAGTAGCCGTATATCGGAGTTCAGAAAGAACTCATAGGCCAAGGGGTTAACCTGAGATTCAAGTGACATCCAGTCTATCCCTTCGTTCGAGCTGATAGTTTAAGTAGCCGTTTCAGACACGAGTATTCTAATCGACCGGTAATACCGTTAGAAAATCGTAACAGGTTAAAGCGATTGGGATTCTACACAATAATTCCAGCGAGCTGTTCGAGCGAGCGACGAGAATACCCCCAATCGCGCGCATTACGCGCGACATTTGTACAAATGGGAGTCACTCGGTTCCCGCGAAATGACACTTAAACATTAAATCGATCGATATTCATGAATGCATATTGAACTTGATCCCATCGCTATCTCGAACGGTCGCGAACTCGTGCGCGCTCGCTCGTGCGGTTCACGGTTCCCACAATCAGTCGAGCGTATTACGGCTATCCTCTCCTCTGTTGTCGGCCCCCGACACGCCGAGTTCTAGAAGCGCACGCGAGAAAATGTCGGAATCGTTCGATATGCGTATAACCGGATATTCAGAATGGTTCGAGCGCCGAGAGCGAGGAGATATACTAGCGGCTGAAAAATTCAACCGGCTACCTCGGAAATGCGGCGCGGAGGTTACGCCGCTGGAAAGTTACCGTTTACATTATTGCATAGTGTCACGCCAAGCCGTTCAACCTTAGCCGGCCACAAAACTTTTTTCCCTTCTCGGAACACCGAGTAGCTTTGCCCGGAATTACTCCCGTGCGAGTAGCATTTTCCATAATTATCCCTATCGCCCGATCGGACGGGGAACCTCGGCCGATGTCCCGATTTGATTCGGTCGTTCTCAGCACTGCCACCGAAGGTGACAAAACACACCTTTCGGAGTTTCGACTTTAAATTAGTTTCTCAGTTTAGACGTTTGTCCTCGATTGAGGTTTCATTTCCTGTAGTTAACCCTTTGCACTCGAGAGGTGACTCTGAGTCTAATTGATTTGATACAAGAAAATTACAGAGTGTTGTATGTAATATTGAGTTTTGTATGTTGAATCGATATGTGAGATATTTGTATAAATAGATTTTATATAGCGAATAGTGCTGTCTAGGTCTTAACGGAGTGTCGAATGTTTCTAGTGAAGCCTCCGAGTGCAAAGGGTTAATTTTATGTTTACTGGGAAAATTGAGGTCTATTCAGAATATACGACTAAAGTAGGGGAATAATTTTAACCCTCTGCAGGCCCATACTTTGAAGCCACATATCATTGAAACTACTGAATATTTATATTATATAATATTTCTTCGATCTTTTATTTTCCTTAGTACAACATTTGGATGTGAGAATCGAATAATTTTAGGGTAGTTTCTTTAAGATTCATTAAAATATTTAATATAACTGGCGCAATATTGGAGCCTACGGAGGTCAAAGGGTTAAATTACAGTACATTAAATTCCAGCTTGAACATTCGTAAACACCACAAGAGAAACAGTACATACTACATGACGAAGGAAGGATATTTTCTAAAATATAAAAAGAATCATCGTAAATGAAGTAAATGTCTCAGGTGATAACGTAAGATGAGACAGCTTTAGCGGTGTATGCCCTTATACAGTCGAATCTAGCTGGAAATTGCAATCGGTATTTCAGATCGATTCAATGGCTATTACGATTTTACTAGCCGTAACGGCGAGGACAATACCGATCGAATGAGATAACCGTAAATCCACGGGCCGTCTCGCGTATTCTAATTCACGGGACGCCAACCTCTTACTTCCCCTTTGGAAGCATCTCCGCCACGGCGACTGTCATTCTCACGCGTTTCCTTTCAGCGTCGGTGGCCGGCGCGCACACGGGTTCATGCAGGGGTGGCGTTTCACGGGGCACCCGCATAGCGGGTGTACGGCACAGCACTTCTCTCGATTTCTTTGAATTTTCCTGCGTGTCGCGACAGCGGCTGCTGGTTACGCCGGGAAACCATCCTCATTGTTAGGGAGGCGTGCACGCGACACAACGGAGGGCTGGGTGAAATCGCGAGGAAAAATCATTCGAATACTCGATGAATAATTCGAGGAAAATTAACCCTTTGCGCTCGAGAGGTGACCCTCACTTGATTTCATACAGTAACTATAAAATTTGATGTTTAATATTGCACCTCGTGTAACGCACCAATTTGGAAATATTGAAATAATTCCTCTTCGAGTTGGTTTCACAAAATATCGTCTTTATTTCGTCAGGAAATGTTCAAATATTTCTAGTGAAAAACTTCCGAGTGCACAGGGTTAATATTCCGAATGAAACAGTCGCGGTGAATTTGAAAAAAGATTTGTATAATGCGTGAATTATAAATTTATAATTTCTATAGAAATCCTAGCGATTAGAAATGCTATAACATTTCTTCGATCTTTTATTTTCCTTAGCAGAAAATTTGGATGTGTGGAGAATCGAGTAATTTTAGGGTAGTTTCTTTAAGATTCATTTAAATATTTAATATTATAACTGGTGGAATATCAGAGCCTACAGAGTTCGAAGGGTTAAATGCGATTCTATCGAAATGCAAAGGTTTCCATTGCTGGACTCATTCATGGAAACAGGATTAGCCAATGGATTACAATCCAGAATAAAAAGGTTGCGATAAATTTCGAAAAAGATTTCTATAATACGTGAATCATAGTAGTTGGGAAATTGGTTTAAATACGATTCTATGAAAATACAAAGGTTTCCATTGTCGGACTCATTCATGGAAACAGCTAATAGATATTACAGTAATTCAGAATAAAATCCTATCTCGAGAAACGTTGAATCGTTCCGTTAAACATTGATCGCAGCACGTAGGATTTGATATCGAAATACGCAAGGTTCAACGTGGATTATTTACTATTTACTATTTGAAAGAATATTTTATACAGCACCGCACGGGACACGTAACGAGGGTGGCGAGGAGAGCATACACACCCGCATATATCCCGGTCTCTGTACGTACCGTAACCTTACACAGGAGCGAACGTCGCGCCGAGTGTGTACTGTGTGTATCGATCCCGAGAGTACACACGAAGAAGACGACTCTGAGCGCCACCACGTTCCGTCTCTGTCCCTCTTATCTTATGGGAGAGGCGCTGCCTCTTGTGTTGTTGCTTTCGTTAGAATGACGGTTGCTCGGCATCGTACGCCGAGCCGAATTTTCAAACGGTAATACATCACACGGAACACCGGCGAACAGGCCTCGCGTAATAATCCTGCGTGTTCGCGCGATCGTCCAGTGTAAACGGGCACCGAACACGGTGTGTGTGTGTATTGTTCCCGAGGATAACGCCGGGTACGAGGTACGGTTGTAAACGTTAAACGAACGGAACGGCGGCGTCCTGGTCGCGGCCGTGAATACGTCCCGAATGAAATGGATTCGCTTACCTTGATTTTCTGTGAATAATCTGAACACTGACACGAGACGGAACGACACACACTCCGCACCCGACGAAGGTCCGAGCTCGACTGAAAGCTGTCACGGAGTGGGGTGGCGCCACGGCCAATCCCAGCATACTATGTAGCACGCGATTCCATCTTCCTCGCGTAAGACATACAGCGGGAGTCAAAAATGAGTGCTGTCTCGCGAATGGAAAATTCATGCGACAACCCCCTGTAACTTTACCGTGCAGCAAGATCACGGGAAAAGAGCCGCCTATTGTCGTAACGTTCGTTGGTTATTTAAGCGACCGGATATTCGTGGTGAGCAGGCTCCTGTTTAGATTTTATTTACTATTCGCGTACTGTTTTCGTACTGTTCTACCGAATCATTTTGATTTTTGGATTTGGTCTTTTGAATTTGATTTTCATTTTTATTCGACATTTCTGTTTTCGGCATCTTTTCACCTGTGACCGATACGATGATTTAATTGTTGTTTGGATATTGAAATGGAATTTGTTTTCTGGATGAAAGAATGAATATGTGTAGGAATATTGTTGAATTCAAAATTGGATAGGTTAGGTGTGGAATGAATAAAGGTAGTATAATAGGTGACAAGTTCAATGTGAACATATGGTAGGAATAAACTTCAAATAGAAATTATGAAGTTTTAATTAGTAATCGATTGATGGAAGAGGGTTATGTCAGTTGCCATTGTTATCGACCTAGCAATTATTTTTTAAAATGTCAAGCCTGACAAGTTACCGACAGTTCGTAACTTTAAGAATTGTGTCGGATGCGTTAATTATATTTTACATGTTTTTTATTTGTGATTTCATAACTGGAAAATTGGAATGAGTTATATCGTGTTTGCGGAGTTATAACGAACTTTAATGTAAACCATAATCAAATCTTTGATTGGTATAAATTACTAAGTTTGAAATTATCGTACGTATGAATATTTCTTCTTTATTGACAAATCTTTGTATATTATACTTTGTTTATCATTAATTATTTATAAACTTTTTACATTAGCCTTGAATAATATTATACAATATTTTGTTTGAAATTCAATGACGCCTCCTCTACGCGTCTACAATCTAGACCCACGAAATCGGTGATTAAAATAAGATCGGCTGATTTGCATACTCGTTAATTTCTTTGTTTCGTTTGAAGTTTCGAGGAATTCCTGGAACCTTTCAAAAGTTTAACAAAAGACTACACTAACAGTCATCACTTTCCTCCTAACGGATATTTTTAATAATATCACGAATGTCGTAGAAAGCGGTTGCTTTTCTATCTTCAAACATGACCGGCGTGAATAATTTAAACATTACTTTTAAAAATCAGAAATACAGTAATCACTGATTGGAACTGATAGCTGAGCGTGCACAAAGTGGAATGACATTTCTTCTATATATACATTCTCTATTTATTCCAACAAAGTAGTAATGATAATATGAATAATCAATAGTATATTCCTCAGTCGATTAAACGTGAGTACGCAACTTCTAAAATCATATACTTAATAACGGATAGTGGAAATCATTCTCTCACACTCTCTCTCTTTCTTTCTGTCAATAGTTCCACACTCTTTCTAATTTACAATCAGTTGAGAGTTTCCAAGCCTCGCAAGGGCACGGCAGTTTCCAATCGAATCCTTAAATTTATACAAATTGAACATTATCGTGGCATCCGATTTTCTGACATCAAATCTAACAACCGAAACATTCATGGATCATGCTTTCCCTATATTCTTCCAATTTGTTAAACAAACATACATTCCGCGGCAAACGCTACTGACAATTTTTTTAGTATTTCTAGATTATAATGGTTTCTAAGTCTTAGACTTGGTTGGAACAATTTCTTCAGATGCCTAAGTATAAAAATATTTGAAGTGCATGAGTATTGCTCTTTATGGAACCGCCATGGCACTCTACTTGACTCGGAGACCTGCTATAGGAATCAACTTGCGCAGTGAAATCTTTAAAAATATATACTTACAATAGAAGATACGATACGAACGAGCGCTTTTGAGTATAATTAGTGTGAAGAAAGTATAAAATGTTAAAAGTACCTAGCCAGTAATTTTTGCATCGTTAAAAGAGAAAGTTGATCACAACTGTTTTCACAAAAAAAGGAACAGTTAATTTTTGTGAAAACAATTGCAACACTCATTGATAAA